AGCACTCTATTACCATTGAAGACTATCGAATACAGTTGCTATAAGACTCAGAAGTAGCATTCCAAAGCAAAACAACTCTGCAACTGAAATATGCCTGATTTAAAATACGCAGTATTAGTTCATTTCTAAAATAGCTGAAAATCACTAACAACTCCAAACAACTGCTTTAATTCTGGCCATTTTGCTACAGACGACCACGCCAATAGAGCTGCAGAATCACAGCCTAATTTAGGTTGGAAGAGGCATCTAGAGATCATCTAGTCCAATGCACTGCTCAAATCAGGGCAACTTTACAGTTAGATCAGGTTGATTGGGACTCTGTACAGCTGCACTTTGAATAGCACCTAGGATGAAGGTTCTATAGCCTGAATACCTCTTCCACTCAATCTTTCTCACTGTGAAGTTTTTTTCCCTTACATACAGTTGTTCCCTTGCTGCAGCCTGCAATGACTAACTCTAGTCCTTTTGGTGTACATCTCTGACAAGAGCTTGGCTTCATCTTCTTCACAACCCTCTCAGCAGTCCAACAAAACACATTAGAAACTGTTTAAACAAAACTTGCGAAGAAAACAGGATGAGAAGAAATAATTCACAAGAGGACTACAGTGATCTGGAGTTGAAGGAATTTAGTCTACCACCCGTAGAAAAGGAGACAGAATAGGGCTGTGCTATATCTTGTTGATTACAACCACCACGCCTTCAAATACACACCAGATTTTCCCTTTGTTTCATTGCTGCTACAAATTGCTGCTACTCTTCCTCTTTCCCACCTTTTCTGCCACTCACCTCTCCTATTTTCCTCCTCCCTCCTGAGGGAAAGAGACAGCAGTCACTTTGCTTTGGCTGCCAAAAGAGTTGGATCCACGCAATACACTGGGTAATGTAGGATAGAGAGCAGTTCTTCAAAAAGGCAAAATAAAAAGTAAGAGAGCTCTCTTAAAGAGCAACTATTTGTATTTATCTAACATTGTTAGACTTTCAACATCTGATGCAAAGAACAAAGTGCCTATATTGGCCCCAATTTTTATTTAACAGCAAGGAAGACTCAAATCTGAAAAGAATTCTGTAGGTGGTGAAAATTTATTTCTCCATATAAATTTCCCAAGACAAAAAAAAAAAAAAAAAAAAAAAAAAACACACTTGACCCTTCCAATTTAATTCTCCTCTTTTGTGTTCATTTGTTTTCATCACAGCCAAGAAGCAAGACGAGCAAAACAAGTAAGAAAACCACCAAAAATGAGAACACTGAACCCATATAATCACTCTTAATCACAGAACCAAAGACTAGAGCCAGGAGTGCCATCACAGCCAATAGCAAATTAGACAATATCCCTAAATTCTTAAAAAATCATTATCTAAATACACATTAGCTCAACAACTTTAAAAAAAAAAAAAAAAAAAAAAAAATTGAATGGTAGAGAATAAACTCCTTGCTTTGTTACAACAGCAAGAAAATATTTTCCAAAAATACACAACATCATCTACTGAAATACGAAATTAAGGGACAAATTCAAAAGTTCTTTGAGTGTAAAACAAGTCATAAAATGGTGTGATTGAGTAATTCTTGCCCATTTTACTACACAGTGCCAGCAGATCTTTCCACTCTTCTACCAGCATACCTGGACAAGCCTCTGAAAACACATTTTTTGGTGAAAAGCCTGAAACAGCAAAATTACTTACTTAGCGCTATCCTAACCTTTGCAACCAAGTAATCTACATTACCATGGTGTAAACATCAGTGACATTCACTACAGTAATTTTTTAATCAAGTCTAATATTATGCATATTTCTTGCGTAAGGAAGTATTCTGGCACACATATCATGAAGCGGAAATCTATCTTTATGACAAGAATCTCTTAGGTGCACACGTATGAGCGCACACAATAAAGACTGGAAGCCAACAACCACACAAAATTTCTGGATTTGAAAGGACAGCACCGCCTGGAAAGAACTGTCTGCTGCCAACTGATCAAAAAGTGAATGCATTATAAACACTGTATCTCTCTCTCGCTCCACATGCAAGTACAATTATTACAGCAACATTAAATGACTGGTGTCCACAGAATGAAAAAAAGCTTCCTTCATTGCTCAATTGTTAATTTGTTAAGCTTTCAGAATTTCTACTAATACTTATGCAACACAATATATTGTTTAGTTGGTACACGAGGGTGGCTCCTTTTAAAATACAGCAGTACCCTTGCTTATGGAAAGTAGGAAAAACCCCATATGAAAAAAACATAGAAGTTGGTAAATACTTATTTCTTATCTGACATTGAGAACAAGCAATAAACTCCTCAGCATTTCTATGGCCCAGATACTACTTGGAGAAAATCAATGACCACTATACTTGTTTTCCTTCAAAGAACACACAGATATGCTGATCTAGAATGAATCATACAAGGAAAACTAATCTATTTACTACTAATAACTTCTCCCTTCGGTCAATCTATAATTACCCAGTTCAGATTAATTCACTTCTCCAAGATCAGTAGAGCAGAATCATGAATTGAATTTGGTACCTACACCCAAACAACCTATAAATCCCCTTGTTTGCTAACTAGACATCGCAGCTCAAATTCAGGGAACACTGAGCAGTCACAGTTTTATAAGAGACACTGCTCAGGATCATGTACCATCAGAAAGAGCCTCAAGAGACTGAGCATATGCATCCTGTTCAGTTAAAATCAGATTTTAACAAGTACAGTATTGTGTATTTCTCTTTCTGTTAGAGAATGTAACAATTACATTTGTTAGAGAACGTAATGGAAAGCACAGCAATAACAGCGAAACAGCAAAGTCCTAGGCTACAGAGAGTGAGGACTTGCTCAAACGCAACAGCCACAGGCACAGAAATAAAGGAAAGAAGGCACTTACCTTTAGAGAGCCTCAAGCAAACAGGAATCTCCAACAAGATGGCCAACCTCCATGGCCAACCTTGAAATGAGGCCTGAAAGGGGTGGATCCTGGCTCTACTCCTTCCAGTCACTCAGGAACACTGCATGCACCTGAGCTCCCCTGGGTTGGCCCTGCCTTCCAACCAGGTGCTCAATCACTGCTTCAGGTCATGACTCAGCATTTCCACTACACAGGAGTATCCAATTGAAAAAGTCAAATATCAAACACAGACCCTACTGAATACCACTGACTTCAGCTGGAGTTGAAGATATTTATGTCTTACAGATCATCTAATCTTACAGGTCTGATTCAAATTAAGTTACATCCAGCAGAGTTTATTGAAAATAGCTTAGTCAAAGATTAAAATGCTACCACAAGTATCTCAAGTAACAAATCAATTTCCTCTCTTCTTCCTAGCTTTTACCTGCTGTGTCCAAACGATAGAACTGATACGCTAATTTTTAGAACTAACTTCAATTTCCCACCTAGTAAATCCCAAAACGTGGCAATTCACAGTCATCATCATACACTTTCTTCCAATACCATAGCAATCCAGTGGTAGACATGAAAAGCTACTGTACATTATGTGCCTATTTAAAGGATGACTAGCTAAGTGCCTTATATTAGCATATTATTAATGCTAGCAAATCCCATTTTTATCCACGGCAGGAGTGAAAACCCATGGTCTTCTTCATTCAACCTACACATATGCTGACAAAAATTTGTTGTAGAAAGCCAAAATACTTTTTAAAGATATATTTCAAGTTTAAAGTTTCTCCCCCTATGAATACATAGACAATAATCTCTCTTCTGATTACAGTTGCCATAGGTATACAGCCACAAGACAGATATATGGTAAGCTTAAGATAATGGCAATCCATAGATTAAGTGTCTCCTTTGCTCTGCTGCCTCTTGCATACAGGAATCAGTCTTTCAGTTTATGGCAGTTCAAGATAACATTTATTAGCATTACGTAAGATAAAACCCATGACTGCTCTCGCTAGGAGAACTAGCATGTTACTTCTACATGACTCACTCCTCACAGGTAGGTTCTGAGTTTACCTTCCAGTGAAACATAAGGAAAAAGAAAGAATGCACAGTTCTAATGCTAAAATCTACACTTTCTTAAAAAAATAACTATATGCCACTTTTTTTTCCCTACGTATCTACAAAGTTTCAAATCTGAAAGATACAATACTGAACCCCACCAGGCTTTTCACACAATTAAATGAAAATGAGTATTGTTTAGTATTTTCTTAATGATTAATAGGAATACTATAAAATTATTAATCAATCCATACGTTAAAAAAATTTAAAATTGATTTATAAATTCTAACTGCATTTAGCTTTAACCCTTATCTATATAGCTCCACAAAATAAAATCATACACAGTGTAGGGGAACTGTTGGATCATAACCTGAACCTCTGATTGACCACCTGAGGCAAGCAATGAGTCAGTCACAGGAGCACAGGTGAAGGCAATTCATCTGAGTGATCGGAAGGGGTGGAGCCCGGCTCCACTTCTCCTAGACTCCATTTAAGGGCTGACTTCCACTGAGGAAGGATCTCTCTCTGGAGACCTTTCCTCATAGATTTTCTTGTGAGCTTGCAATGCCAGTGAGTGCTTTCCATTTATCTCTGATTATCTTTTTTAATGTGATAATCTTACTAGGCTGACATCTGTATACTTATAGATCATACACACAGCCTAGGAACAGAGCATTACAAATCATTTACAATAACACAAGATTCACAAATAAAAAAGGAAACGGAGAAGTACACACTTACTTGCTTTTTGGTTAAGAATAATTCACATTTCATCCCATTCTTCACTTCTTCAGGTAATATCGCTTATTTTCCATTTTGAAGAGAATAAATCATACTGAGCATCTTTTACATTTACACCAGATATTTACAGACTCACCTGGTTACTTGTGTTCCAAAGAAGAGAAAACAAACATTGATAAAACAGTATCACTCATACAGTAACTGAATGTAACTCACATATATGTATGCTTTTATTTTGAGGGGAAAAAAAAAAAAAATTCCAGGATTGGAGTGGGTGCCCCGTAGTGCACTTGAAAAACCTAAACATTACAACATACCTTAACAAGTTGAAGCTAAGATCTAGTCTTTTTGCCATATGTCCATATTTTCTTCCCAGGAATTCAGGAATTTCTTCACAGTCTTGACTAATATAGGACACCTGAGAATTGAAAGCAAAAAGGAAGCATGTCATAAGTAGATTATTTACAGTTTCCTGTCCAGATTCTGTCTCATTGATCCAATGACAACATACGGTATAATGAACATTCATTACAGCTTCAAGCTACATCAGTTTTTACTGCTGCAGAATCTATCACAATCTCATTTTTCTTTCAATGCAATCAGCTTAATTCTTAACACGTGCTTAGTCCTATTTACAATATAGCATATTTTTCTCATTTCAGGTAACAATAATTTGATCAAACACATTGCATTTATTCCTTCTAGTAGTATATCATATTCTGTTCCACTTTTAATACTTGAATTTAGCATTACTTCAGATTACCCTTCTGATACTCCAAAGGAAAACATTTTGTAAGTCTTTCAAAGGACTTTCTAGTTTGCTTTGCAGTACGGAAGTCATTCAGTACAGGAACATTACAAAATCTTTGGACAAAAAAAGCAATCAGTACAAAGTCAAACCATTTTCATACCCCTTCTTTGAGATTATTATTTCCAGTGATATGCTAGAGACAGAGCAAGAAGGTCACTCAAGATAGAAGAAACCAAAAATACAGGCTTGTTTACACAGTGATTTAAGTCTTAAAGATTTTTGGCTTCAACACAACTGCTGTTTCACTCCCCTTTGTACCCTAAATGCTAATGTATATTTTTCTTCCTTTCAATACCTACCTATCTAAACTACCTTCAATAAACAAAGGAAGAATTAATGGTAGTAAAAATAGTCTATTCTTATTTCTCTTTAGCCATGATGAAGTAAGTGATGATATTTCCAGAAAAGCACAAACAATAACATGATTACACTTCATGTATTCTGTCAGCTCTGTTGTCTTGGAGGTCTGGTTTGATTTCTTCAGAGAGAATCCCCACAAAGTCTGCTAAACATATTGTCATGAACTCTTCATGTCTGTATTGACTCATCCAAAATTGACATTTCAAATATTTTGCTAAATAAATGTTAGTTGCCTTTAAATGGCAACTTGCTATTTAAGTGGATTTCGTCACTGTGTTAGATCACTATCTATAAGATACAGCTGTTATCTAGATATCTAATACAATTTCAAGACCACGTCCCACTGGCCTACAGGATATTAGATGAAAAATATGCAGAAAGGTCAAATTTTGTTTTAATAGTAATTCACTTTCTGGTAAATAGAGACTCCTCTGCAGATCAGACTGATGGCATGTACTTGTGCAAATTATCCCCATTTCTTACACAATAATAATGTCTGCAATCTGATCATATGGAATCACATTCAATTTAATTCACTTTGTTCCATACCTTAAGCAAACAAACCTCACTGCAGTGGAATATTTTTATGATCAGAAAACAAGTTGCTTGAAGTTCAGTTGAACAACTTTTTCCCTCTTGTTACGACATGCCTATTCTTACAATAATTTCTGCTATTTGATATACATATGACATTAGAAACTAAATATAAGGACCCGGGAAAAGTTTTAGCTAGTTTACATCCTAATAGTTTGGACATAACAGACACGATTTTCCACATTCCACTGAATTAAGCATGTATGTATATTTATTTATTTTCCCTTCAGTTTTCATCTAAGAAAACCACAACATATTTTACAATATACATGAAGTACACAAACAAGAATTGCTTCACTCTTCACAGAAAGGTAGATTACTATAAATAGATGCTTGCAAACCCTTGGAGAGACACCATTTTAGCAGCAGAATATTTCAGACAAAGCAGTAATTCAGTGTAACATGTAATGGATACAACTAAAATTTGATGTCCGTGAACACTAGGAGTGTAAGACAATCTCATGCAAGTACAGCCATAGCAAGAGCACCAACCACCATCTCTCCCCCACAGGGGTGTAGAGCAAGCAATTCCAACCTGCATTCCCACTGCTCCAGAAACTTACCTATCCTCAGCTGCTCTAGGTCCACAAGAACAGAAGTTGAAGAAAAAAGTTCATTTAAACAGATTTTGAAACATGCAAAAGGCAAAATGCATAACGTGTTGTAAAGCTTCAGTCTTTGAACCACTATACTATATAAATACACTTGCACAAGTGGTACAAACAGATTGGACACAGTTGTATTTGTAGGTGGCATACAGTTGTTATGCTGAGGCCTTGTGAAAGGTATTTCACTTGCACAAAGTCCACTTCAGCTCATTCACTGTTACAAGCACCTTTTTGAATTTAAGCCAGCAGATTTATTTTCCTACAAAGTACACTCACTTCAGATCTCTATCCCTTTTCTATAAACTTGCTTGGGATCCTCAAGAGCCCTCTTGACTATAACAGCAGCAGCAACTGTCAGATCACCAGCTATGCAATACACAATAAGACTTCTTCAATAAGTTTTGGAGAGCATTATTTATTCACTCTTCTGCTGCTTGAACAATGCTGGTATGAAGCAAGTCTTCAACAGTCTGGACAAGCAAAAAAAACAATGTGTCTTCATTTTTAGTCTTTCAGTTCAAAATAATTTGCTCAGAAAAACAACCAAATATACACAATCTGGTATTCTTCCTTTTGCATCCACCTCAAATAACCCTAAAAAAAAAAAAAAGAGCTTTCAAGTGCATATCTAGAGATGTCATCACTGAGAGATGAGAGCAAATACACCTTGCCCAAGACATCTAGGCTCCTTGGGTACAGGGCACACCAGTAACAGCAGGTTTCTCCGATTCTCTATACCCAGCACAGAACACCCCATGGGATGAGAACTAGATAAAGATGTCTCTATTCCCTAATTCTCCACCTCAAACTGAGATGGTCATCATCAAACACTCTTCATTACTGGCACCCAGCTCAGGATCCCAAAGAAACACTCAGATCCCAGCATCAGATGGCTGTGGGCAGCTCAGACCTTCTCGCAGACTCTTCAATACACTGTATACAATTCAGGAAAAAAATACGCATTTACAAAATATTTAAAACATAACAAATTAACATCAGTCAACAGTAGTCATACCTCTCTTCGGCTTTACTTTCAGAGGCTAAGAACAAGCCCAGCTCCCTCAGTCTGTCTTCACAGCTGAGGTGCTCCAGCCCTCTGACCATATTCGTGGCCCTCTTTTGGATTCATTTCAAAAACATATTGCCTTCCACTGAAGGGCATTACATGTGAATAACATTTCCAGTCAGATGGGCACGGTATGACACTGTAACCTGCTAGCAGGTGGGATGATGTTAGGCACAAAGCCAAATGAAAGCTATGCTTCACTCGGAGGGATTTACTCCAGGCCCAAGGGAACACACAATGCTCCTCTGGGCCACAGCGCATGCAGAGACCACAGGAACCATTTCCTGAGGCAGCTGCGCAATTAGCCACTTGCCTCCCTATCACATGTATGCTTACAGGAATTCCACACTGAAACAGAAACCAGAGCACAGGAACAACCCGAGGGGCAGCACCCCGGTCAACGGCATACCATTTTCTGAAAGAACCAAAGCTTCATTCCTTTCTTCCCACAGCCCTCAGGGTCCACATGCTGGCTGAGCGCTGGAGCAACTGGGGTGCTTTTGGGTCACCGCTAGGCCAGCAGACCCCACGCCCGGCCTGACCGCCAGATGCAGAACTCGGACTGGAGATCGCTGTGCAAACAGAGGTGCTCCCCAGCAAAGCCTCAGGAACGAGCCCTTTGCACCTGGCGAGCCTGCAGGAGCTGCGACAGGGACAGAACGAGAACCCCCTGCACTCAAGCGCCCGGGGCGGAGGCACACAGCACCCTGTGCCGGGCCGACGGGCAGCACGATCGCGGCGGGCTCCACGCGCAGCGCTCGGCGCTCCGAACTCCCGCACGGGCGGACGGGAGGCGTCGATGCGGACGGGAGGCGTCGATGCCTCCGCGGGGCTCCCAGCGGCAGCAGCCGACCCCCCGCAGAGATGGAGGGAAGAGGCGGAGAGGCGCCGGCGGCAGGTGGTGCGGTGCGCGGCGTGACGCGGACACTTACTTGGGCTCCGCTCACTACTAGCCCTGCCATGGCGGAGGGGGGTCGGGACGGTGCTCCGCAGACGGCGGCGGCTCGGGGCTGGGCCGGGGCTCGCGCCGCCGCTTCCTCGCGGCAGTCAGCTGACGCGGGCGGAAGCGCGACCGGGCCGCGGGAGGGGGCGGTGGCTGAACCCAGTTCCCGCCGCCACCTGAGGCCCCTCCGCCTTGCCCTGGGCAACATCTCTATAAGGAGCTATGGTTTCTGCAGCGACACTTTGGATTCCCTTCCCTTTGAGGACCTGGACTTGCGTTCCACGTGCAGAGCAACCCATTGATTCGGAGCGCTAACTCGCCTTGGAAGGGATGTGCATTGCTGGTAAAGCAGTGCGTGCAGACACATCCATGGTGCTGTCTTTATGGCCATAAAATACAGGGAAATTTGCACGGAGAACAGAACTGCCTCTGGAATTACCAGGAATACCCATCAAAGAGGTTCTCCCAGGGCATGAGTTTGCTCAGTAAAATAGACAAAGGATGGCGGGCTGCGGTTGATTGGGTAGAGTGAGGAAATCCAAGGCTTTCTGTAAGAATTCTTAGACTTCTGAAGACACTTAGTTTTCTCAAGCTTGGCTCCTAAATCCTATTAGTCACCTACCTACCTCTTTAGCTGCCTAAGCACCTTTAAAAATCTGACTCTTAATTGCTAATAGAGCATTACTCACTCTTGCTGAAAAGCAGAAGCGTGCTGAAAGGAGAAATAAGTTGCAGGAGGATATGTATTCTACACTGCAAAACTTTCTATGGTTTATTCAACAACACAGCAGAAACTAATACTGTACTTGCTGCTCTGCCTCATCATATCAACAGAATACGTTCCTGCTACAACTGTGGCATCACCCTTTTCCTAAAGCCATTCCTCCTTTTGCACTGACCGTTGGACAGAAAACAATGAGCAAAGACCCCAGGGGGAAAAGAAAAAAAAAAAAGAAAAAGAAAAAAGAAAAAAAGAAAAAAAAAGACATTGCACACTCCCTGTTATTTTAATGCATACATTAAAATGAGAAATGGGCCAACATGCAAAAAATCAAAACACAATCAGTGAACTAACCATTCCATTGCTTTGTATAGATATAATTTTCCTTAAATAGTCCAAGAAATGGAAGAATCAAACCCTGCATTCACAGAAATAATCAGATATTACATTGATGAATAAAAGTTCTGTTTCTCTATGTAAGAGTTTTCCATCAAGGCATATTTACTAGTTCTGGTCATCACTCAGCATGCTTCAAACAATCAGTGCCTGTGCTTATTTATTAGATCATGTAGCAAATAACACATGCCAAGAAAAACAAGTGCTATGTGAACTGTAAATTTAAACAAAACAATACAGTCTACTCTTCTCTATCTACCTCTTTTTATCTCTTCTTTAGCTACAAGCGTGTGATTCCCATCAGAATCCCACATAACTCAAAGCACAAAGTGGCCTCCTGCTATAGGCAGCTGTATTTGTCTTAATGGAGTAAATTCAGTTCAATACCACACTCCTGTAAAATTGGAATAACTATACTGAAAACAATTTAGCACATCATTATCCATATTATTAGTATTAATTTTAGTAGAGTGCTAGCTGTCACTGTAGAGAGATCTCTGAAGAAAAAAAACCCTGCCTGAGTAGTTTACCGCGTAGCACAGACAAATAATAAGTCTGTTTTTTCCACCTTCTTACATTGCCAATTGCATTAACCTGCCATTGATCCTCCTACTTACTAGGCAAGACCTTGTCTACAGGGAGAAGTTGCAGGTCCCGCTCCCTAAACTAGGTGACTTAAATTGACTTTATCATCTTTTCAATCAGTTTAGCTGAATTTTGTAAATTACAAAAACAATTTAAAGAGGTGGCAAACTGTTTTAAGTGCACCTGGCTTATAATCATTCTTTTTAAAATCAGTTAAGCATTTTCTTGTATAGACATGGCCTAGATTATTATCTGTTATGGATAAAATAACATATCCAGATCCCATGGTGTGTAACAAACAAGGGGTGCTACCAGCCTCTTCTACTGTACAGGAAGGTAAAAACACAAACTCCACAGCAGAGAAGGGAGAACATTGCCCTGTTGTGACCCTAGACTTTGAAAACTTGCATCTGGAACATGCTAACTCTGCTGTCAACTTCCTAAATGACGATGGGCAAATGTCTCTGTTTGTTAGTTTGTTTTGGAATCACAGTTGCGTTCCGTAATTTCTATCACCAGCACATCATTTTCAGAAGGAAAACTCGCACCTGCAGCTGTCTACCACTGGAGAAGTACTTTGTAACATGTAATCTGAAATTACAACTAAGTATTATCTTAGGTTTCAAGTACACCAGTCAATGTGCTCATTAGTTGTTGCCTCATGTTATTATGAAGCTAAAACACGTTACACTGTTACATAAATACAGTGGGTATTTTTAGCTGCTGAGCCTGCTGATCATCAGCCTCGTTTTATAGCATGGATTCTAGATCACTAAGAAGTGGCCTCTAATTTTGGAATGCCTGTAGGGCCAAGGTGAGTTCTCCATCCCAGCTCCTCATAACCTCTCCGTGGTCGTGCAGGTAAAACCACAGTGTGATACATGGTGCATACTCACTGTATCCCCTCTCTTGAGCAGAGGAACACGTACTTCTAGTGGATGAAATACTGGTTTTTACAGGTGGAGGAGCCATTGAACCAGTTTCTTTTAATTCGAGCCACTGAACCAGTTTCTCCACAGCTGAGACACAGGCCCACAGAGGGGAAGACAGACTATATAGTTAAAGTAGGCTAACCACTTATCCACCATCAGTCTCTCGTTGTCTTTGCACTTCATTCCTGGCATACAATGGTGGTGCATTCCACACAGCTCTCCACTACATCATTCACAATGCTGATTGATCAAATGCTGATCATCAACATCATTTTACATCAAGGATTCCAGATCATTAAGAAGCTGCCTCTCATTTTGCAGTGTATTTTTTACCACACAGTCTGTACTTATTCATTTGAGCATCACAGAAAGCTACCTTCCTGAGTCCTGGCCCTGTACAACCTGAATCAATGGAATGTTTTCTTTAGCTTCGATGGAGCTGTCTACATGAGTAAGGCTTTAAAGGACTAAATTTGCACTTAGAGAACATATTTTTATTGGTGGTTGCTTAGAAGCTGAAAGTTTTGTGAGGAATCTTTGTTCAGATTGGAATAATTTATAGCAGTGGAGTTTAGCTGACCTTTGAATTTTTTTTTTTTTATTTTTATTTTTGCAGTTTATGTATACACAAAATATTTTTTAAAATCACTTTTTATTTAAATTATCAGGGTTTCACCAAACAGTTAGAAAAGTGGAAACAGGCAGTTATGTATGGGCTGTTCAAATATGGTTTGCCTACATTTTCAGCAGAGTATTGCCTAAAATTTCAGTAGTGCTCAACATGAGTTAATACAGGAAGAAGAAAATAACATCTCTTTTTTTTTTTTTTAAATGTCACTTTTCTTCTATGTAAAGCTACAATAAAATAGTTACATTAATCTGCTCACTGTATGTAATTTCACATATGTAAATTAAACATTGAGCAGACCTATTCCTTGACAAAAGAGCACTGGATAAAATAAAATAAAAGAATAAAATCATGCCAATATTATAAAATCTAGCCCCTAAACAACTGGGAAACAGTTTATTAGCAGCATGGCAGATACATGACAGATGCTTCTCTACGTTCTTTACACAGTGACAGAACTTAAATTTTAGCCGTTGCGAACCTAAAGTGCATATATGGAATGGTTTTGAAATCTCATTTGGTTAAAATAATTAGCTAATATACACCAGTAAATTTAGCACTGCACCTAGAACCAAACAAATCATACTATTTTTATATAAAGCCTACATATAAAAGTTTTTCTATCTAAAAAGTATGTCAAAAGCTTACAAAAGAAAAAAATGATCTTAAACGCTTCACTAACTAAAAATTCTTAAAGCATTTCAGACCAAGCTGACCCAGCGGAACTGTTTTCCATCTTACAGCACACTATGTATGCCTGCATGTCCATGTACACAATCATATTTCAAAGTAAGTCAACAACCCACTGTCTTCTAAAACAGCCTAGAATTTCACCAGGCAAAATGGCATGCTGTGAACATTCTACATTTTCTCGTTGCTTTTTCATTAAAACAACAGAAAAAGTCTTAGTCAACTCACAGAATTCTCCCCCTCTGACTATCAGAAATCGTCTCGGTCTTCACTCATAGAATTCATTTGTTGATGTTTGCAAAGACAATGTTGGCTCAAAAAATTGTTAGTAAGTTTCCAAAGAAATACAATGCTTAATACAAAATGAATCAATTAACTTGAAGAGATTAACTGTACTGCAGACATTTTTTATCCATGTTACCAAAGGAAGGGGAACGTTTTATTCATACATATCTTCACTTAGAACTGTTTTTAACTCCCAAATAGCTAAAG